CCCCGCGCCCAGGTGAGCAAGGCGCGGGCTCGGAGTGGGTCTGTGGCTGCGGGACCTGCAGTCACCGTGTGGGGCTGGCCCGTAGCGTGTGCCTCGGGTGGGCGCGAAGACACTAGGACAGCGCCTTAGGTCACCGGGGGACGCGTTGCCCCTCCGCTCACAGCCCTGGTATAGGCTGCCTGGGCGGTCAGCAGGACTGGATCAGCAGCCTATAGGGACCCGAAATCTTGAGATCTCTTCTGTGGACTTTGTTCCCTCATTGCATTTATGGCGCGCAATGAAGCGAGAAGCTGTTAGGAGAGTTTCGTGAGCCACTGCCCTGAGTTGATGACATGCTTCTTCCTGTGTAGCACAAAGCTATTTGTGCCTGGCTGAAATCCCTATTAATTGTAGCTGTTTTTTATTATAAAATAATTTTTTGGTACCGGGGATCAAACTCGGGCCAGGGCGCTAGAACACAGCACGTTTGAGTCAGAAGTAAGCCCAGCATGGTGGCACGTTTGCAATCCCAGCACTCTGGGAAGCTGAAGCTTGAGGATTGTCAGTTTGAACCCAACCTAGGAAATTTAGCAATTTAGTGAGATCCTGTTTCAAAATAAAGGGTTAGGGATGTATTTCAGTGTGAAAGCCCTGAGTTCAATCCCCAGCATCATCATCAAAAAAAAAAAAAAAAGTTAAGTCCTGAGGTAGTGACATAGTCCTGGTTGAGGGTAGAGCCAGCAGTGAGCACTGGTCTCATCTGTTCACTCACAAATGTGTGCTGGGCGCTGGGTGAGCAGCAGGGCTGGACACAGGTGCTGCAGGTTGGCCTGGGAGGGCCAATTTCTGTTTGCTCACTCTTCCACTACACCTTGGGGCTGCATGGATGGAGTTTGAGGAATTGGTTGCTGAGTGCTGTGTTTTACGGCTTCTGACCACACGGCAGTGCTGTGAAACTTCCTCAGGGATGGCATGGATGCCAAGCAGGTGTGGCAGCTCTGCAGCAGAAGCACCTGCCACAAAGGCAGATGATGACTCCTTCCTCCAGTGGTTGCTGCTTCTCATCCCTGTGACTGCCTTTGGCCTGGGGACGTGGCAGGTAATGACTGGCACCTATCGCAAGTGGCCCTGAGCCCTTGGTCCTGCTGTCGTCTGCCTGTCTTAAGCTTGTTTCTGTAGGTCCAGCGTCGAAAACGGAAGCTGAAACTCATCGCAGAGTTAGAGTCTCGAGTCATGGCTGAGCCTGTCCCTCTGCCGGCAGAGTGAGTGTGGCTTCCTGGTGGGGCCTGGCTTCTGTTCATGTCCTGTCCACCATGTCCTTGACCTAACAGGAGCCCTCAGATGAGTCATGTAGGTCTTGCTGCTTACAGCAGGTGACTCTTGGGATGGCATTTTTTATGCTGGGTTTCATCCTCTTCAGATCTCGAGTGATCCTGCTGTGCCTGCAGCTCCCAAAGCAGTTTTCGTGGGTGAGGGCAGGTCATACAGGGCTCAATATGAGCATACTGGTTTGCAGAAAGTGCTCTAAATGACCTAGCTGCCCTCCCCTCATTGGAAAGCACGGCCTTGAAGAGACAGTGACATTTACCAGGGAACACTGCAGTATTTGCCCTGCAGATGGGGTTTGGGTCCTTGTTTTATTACTTTATGTAGAACATTCATCTAGGAAGCCACATTACTAGGTTCATGTTGACAGCACAGATCCATATTCCCATGGAATCAGAGGGCTGGAGTGGAGAGTCAGCCCCTTCCAGAGCACACCCTAGAGCCCACTGGTCTCCACTGGACCTGGCCCTCTTTTTTTCTGGTGCTGGGGATCAAATTCAGGACCTTTGCAATTGGGAGGTAGGCATTGTGCCAGAGGTAAATCCTGGGCTCCCCTTTGTTTTTGTATCGCTGGTGGTCTGGTCCTTCAAAACACCCTTAAGGGAATTTACTGGCCACGGCTCTTCTCTTTGTAGCCCAGTGGAGCTGAATAATCTGGAGTATAAGCCAGTGACAGTCCGGGGGCACTTTGACCACTCCAAGGAGCTGTATATGATGCCCCGGACCATGGTGGACCCTGCGCGAGAGGCCCGGGAGGCTGGCCGCATCTCCTCCTCAGCTGAGAGTGGGGCCTTTGTAGTCACTCCCTTCCACTGTGATGACCTGGGGTGAGTAGGTCATGCAGGGTGCTGTCTGCTTGGCAGAGGAAGTGTTTTCATCACCGTCCATCCCAAATGATGATACCCAGAAAGCTTCAATTCCATGATTAAGTCTGAAATCGCCAATTCTGGCATTAAGCAACCATAGCCATTTCATTACTGAGTAGGGTGCTAAACTCTGAAGGGAAAGGGAAGTTACTGTGACAGCCCCTCCTCAAAATGCGGCAGCCCAGGTTAAACTGCTAGGGCCGGGGGCACGGCACACCAGAGAACTAAAGCTGGGAAGGCTCTCCAGGGGCTGCAGGAGTTATCAAGAGCATCCTAGGCAAAGACAAACCCTCACTAGCCCCCAGAACTGGGCAGGGGCCTGAGTGTCGCCTATCCAGCAGGCTGCCCCATGCCAGGGCTGTCCCTGTGGCTCTTACAGGAGAGGTGGGCACCAGTTGCCTGTTGGTGAGGCAAGAGGAGGGTACAGGGTGGTGAAAGGTAATGGTGGGGACTGCCAATCCTGAGGGCAGGAGGGAAGACTTCCCCCAGAGTGGCATGGCTGTGCTGGTATCTAGGCCTCAGCCTTGTTTCAAAAGCCTCATAGCTGTAGTTCGCCAGTGCTTCCCTAGCATGTGCTTATCCCAGATTGGGCCCCCAGCATAGCAAAAGCCACTTGGTGCTGGAGTCCAGACTTCTAGAGATGCCATTAAAAATTATCCTTATGTGAAAACCCTTCCCCACCTGAAGCAGCACTTTCATTCCTCCAGGGTCACCATCCTGGTAAACAGAGGGTTTGTCCCCAGAAAGAAGGTCAATCCAAATACCCGGCAGAAAGGCCAGGTGAGAAAGGCAGGCTGTTGAGGGCCCATTACCTGGTCTTCAGTGAAACAGCCTCATACTTCTTTGTAGGTTGAGGGAGAAGTGGCCCTGACTGGGGTGGTGAGGCTGACAGAAACCAGGAAGCCCTTTGTCCCTGAGAACAACCCAGAAAGGAACCACTGGCATTACCGGGACCTGGAGGCCATGTCCAGGACCACAGGCGCAGACCCCATTTTCATCGATGCTGATTTCAGTAAGTTGTGGCCTGCCCTGGACAGCGGGCCACTGTGGAAATACCATTTCCTGGCCAACACTTCTCACTTAGTGGAACCCCTGCACTAACATGCGGAGAAGGCTGGGATATTTTGGGGGAAAAGGACGAACGGGACCAAAGGACCTGCACCACAGGTGAGGATAGGAGCCCACTGTCTTTGCAGAAAGCACCATCCCTGGAGGACCCATTGGAGGGCAAACTAGAGTCACCCTGAGGAACGAGCACATGCAGTACATCATTACCTGGTTAGTTTCTGCAGCCCTGGCCCTCCCCTTGGCACTAATGTGCAGCTTGACAGCTTCATCCTCTTTCCCAGGTATGGGCTGTGTGCAGCCACATCGTACCTATGGTTTAAGAAGTTTCTACACCGGACGCCTGGCATGTGACAGGGTCGTTATAGCCGTGCCCCTATTTAAAAAGCTCACTTTTGAAATAAAAACTTCAGTCTTATTTGTGTCACATTTTCATGCAAGCATTTGGCCTGGCTTTGAGTGCAAACCTGTCACCACTCCAGACAAGTTCACACTAGGTTGATGATTTATTATTTTATGTACAGAAAACTCGATACACTTAGCCCAGTTTAGTGGCAAGTTCTTTAGCCTTTGCCTTTTCCAGCTTAGCGATGCGAGCCACAGATTTGGGACCCAGGACATTGCCTCCCCAGTGACGGCGGATCTGAAATGACAAAAGAGCTATCAGTCAAGTGTGACCTGTCACCTGCCAAGGCTTTCAAAGCACATGTGCAGGACTGAGGGTGTCTCACTGGGAGAGCTTGTCTAGCACATGTCACCCAGGTTTGATCCCAGTTCAGGGGTTTAAAGCACATACTCAACCCCACTCTTAATTGCTTCCAAGTGGATCACAACAAGCAGCCCTAAGTTGGGCCCTTGAGAAAAGCTTGATTTACCCAAAACCTAAGATGGAAAGAGCCACTGCATACCTCATCATATCTGTCGTTGTAGTTGGTCCTGATTGCCTCCACCAGCTTAGCTAGAGCACCTTTGTCTTCCCTAACAAGGCAGGGGTGAGAGAGATGGGTGCTTAGCCTCACTTAGGAAGCAGGAATGACTTCCACTGTAGTTTGAAATACAAGCCTTTTTGCCTCAGATAAAACATGACCACATGGCTTATTCAGGTGAAGAAATTCTTAACCATCACTGGCAAACATTCAAATTAAAGTACTCATTGTTGTCAAAGTCCTGAGGGGCGGACTAAACCTGGCTGCATACTTACGAGTTGACTTGTGTGAAAGCAACAGTGGTGCATGTCTTCCTGTGGACTAGACGCCCCAGCCTGGCCTTCCCCTTGATGATACAGTAAGGGACCCCCATCTTGCGACATAGGGCAGGCAGGAACACAACCAGCTGGAAGACAGCATTAGCTAGAGTATATCCTGACCAAAACCAGTCCTCCAAGGGTTGGCTTGGTGGCAACTGCTCAGGGTTAAAAAGCTCATGTACTTGTACTTCAAGGTATAATTCAGTGAGAGATTCACATCATTGCAAGTGCCACACAGTCCAATCCTATCGTCTCATCTACCCGCCACCCATGCAAAGGTTTCTATGTTCAGAAGTGGGATTTTGCGAACATCTTTGATCACAGAGGTGATTCGGAGTCCACGGATGAATTCCTACATGAATATGCTCCTTGGTAGGGCAGGGTTGGCAGACGGGGCAACTAGGCCTGTGACCTCAGACTTCTGCTTGCCTCCAACCCCCTCCCCTCTGACGGGGGTCTGAATTCCCGCCACCATGTGGCTCGACCACTTCCTTCACGTTGTATATGCAAGGCATTTTACCTCAGTAATTTAGAGCTAATACAGACACCTTATTGGCACTGTTCTGGCCACAGGTGACAGACTCTGCATTACACCTACTCCATGTTCCCGATCCTGCAATCATTGCTCAGAAACCCAGTGGACCTACCTCAATGGGGTCCACATCGTGTGCGATCACCACTAGTTGAGCCTTCTTGTTCTCTACCAGGGTAGTGACAGTGTTAACACCTGGAACATAACATAAACACTGAACGTGAGTGCTCAGGATGCTCTAGTTACAGCATGAATGCAGTTGTTACCAGCTGTGATTCAGTGTTCAAAAAAAACTCCTCAATTTATAGTGACATCAGGTGAAGAAATTCACGTAGAGGAATTTACACATCACTGCACAGCCCAGCCTCCCATCTGCCCCCTCTGAGGGGCCCTCACCTGCTCTGAGGACCGGTGGTCTCTTCGTGGGGACATCTCCTTTGCCAGCAGCTTTCTTCTCAGCCCGGGCCAACAGCCTCTGCTTCTTCTCTTGCTTTGTCTCTGGTCTGTACTTATGGGCGAGTTTAAGCAGCTGGGTAGCTAGAAAAGCACCCTTCGGTTAGCCTCTGCATTTCACTCCCACTCCATCACTTAATATAATGTAAATACTAGGTCCCTAGCAGTACTAAGGACTGAACCCAAGGCCTACAGAACTACCCAGCCAGCTCTTTTCTTAAACAATCCCAGGGCCACGCACCATCTTTTCAGTGAGGACAGCGTCACTGGTAGCAGCAAGGCCAATTCCACACCACAGAAGCCCACCTGTTTGGCGGTCCAAGGCCTGGGTGAACTGGTTAATCGCAGGAGGCACCTTCAGCCGCTTATACAGGATAGCCCTCTGCCGCTGCAACCGGATGTAACGGGGCCATTTGACAAAGCGGGTGAGGTCTCTCTTGGGCTGGATGTCCTGTCCTGGGAAGAGATTAAGAATATGAGTGAGGGTCAAGCCCTGGGTCAGGACACACTGGAGCCACCTCGCAGGGTGTTGGTGCATCAGCGATCTTGGTGGTTTGAAACGTCATCACTATCTTTCAGATAGCAAATATTCTTTTACATCATCTGCACACAACACCTAGCCACATGGACCACGGGCTCCTCTGTAAGAGGAAGTCCAGCCCGTTGGCCCCCGAAGCCCAACGCTGAAGACACCCAGTGGACACACTACCACTGTCCCCGGAAAGAAAGCAACAGTTCGTCCAGCGGCCCACACACGCACAGCACCCTTTCTGGCGTCGTGGTGGGGCTCGCTGGGCAGCTCGGGCTGGCCTCCACCGCGCCTTCCCGCCTCAGACGCCCGGGCGCTGCATCTCGGACCCGCTCTGAAGAGACGCCCCGACTTCACCAAAAACGTGTAACTCGCTCAGGCTCCACCCCGTACTCACCAATGCCGAAGTTCTTCGGCCTCTTCTCAAACAGGGGATTTACCACCTTCTTGGCCTCCTGCTTCTTCACCACAGCAGGAGCCGGGGCCACCTTCTTCCCCTTGGCTTTCTTCCCTTTCGGCTGAGCACAAAGGAAAACACAATCAGGCCATTTCCCCGCTCCCCCGTTGCGCCTGCACACCTGAACCTAGGGAATCGGCACGGATCGCAGGAGAGCTGCTCCGCGGCGCGGTTTGCGTGCCTGGCCGCCACCGGCGCAGGACTCAGGGCCCCAAGCCGGCGGCAGAGACCAGCCTATCCGCTCCCTGATGCCGGATACCCGGCTCAATGTCTCCCCGCTAGACCTAGGAGAGTTCTTCCAATACCAGGTCGCCTGCACACCTGAACCTAGGGAATCGGCACGGATCGCAGGAGAGCTGCTCCGCGGCGCGGTTTGCGTGCCTGGCCGCCACCGGCGCAGGACTCAGGGCCCCAAGCCGGCGGCAGAGACCAGCCTATCCGCTCCCTGATGCCGGATACCCGGCTCAATGTCTCCCCGCTAGACCTAGGAGAGTTCTTCCAATACCAGGTCGAAGTGGGGACCCCGTGCGGCCGCAGCCAGAGGCGGATGGCGGCGGATAGATCCCAGAGAAAGATGCGAGACCAGAGAACTCACAATCACTCACCATCTTGAGAGGCTGACAGAAAGAGAAAGTAAAAGGAATTATGGGTAATATGTAAGCGAGAGCGGCTATCGCGAGAACTGGCGCCTGCGCGGGACTTCCGATTTAAAGCGGCAGAACTCCTTAAATCCTTTCTTCGGGATCGGTGCGTTAGAGCAACTTCGCGCTCAGCCAGTTGGGCCCTGGCGGAGAGGCAGAGGTGGGTCGCTTTGGCCCGCAGAACCGTCGGTAAGTGCAGCTCGGGGTGATCCTGAGTGCCCAGGAGGGCTGTTCTTCCTATGGAGACACAGCCCCGAGCCCCGGAGTGGCGAGGCCAGGGAGGGAAAAGGCCGCAGAGGACCTGGGGCGCTCCGATTTAAAGCGGCAGAACTCCTTAAATCCTTTCTTCGGGATCGGTGCGTTAGAGCAACTTCGCGCTCAGCCAGTTGGGCCCTGGCGGAGAGGCAGAGGTGGGTCGCTTTGGCCCGCAGAACCGTCGGTAAGTGCAGCTCGGGGTGATCCTGAGTGCCCAGGAGGGCTGTTCTTCCTATGGAGACACAGCCCCGAGCCCCGGAGTGGCGAGGCCAGGGAGGGAAAAGGCCGCAGAGGACCTGGGGCGCGGGGAGGGATCGGAGGGACGGAGACCTGCCGCCGGGCCGGGGCACTGGGGTTGAGGCACCCGATCCCCGACGGCATGGTCCGGGTCTGCGTGGCGCAGCCCCAGGCTGGCGGGGTGACCCTAGACAAGTGGGGCGCCCAGCTTGCCTACCCACTGGATTGGACAAATGTAGTTGGCCGGTCGGGTGCTGGGTGCGCTTGCCCGGGGAACGGGGTGAGCCGAGAACAGCCCCGACCCGCAGAGCCTGCAGAGGAGTGGGCTGACCCAGTGGCAAGAAGGGGCTCCCCAGACTTCTGCACGCTCTGCTCAGGGGGTGGAGGGTGGCCGAGCCTCCCTCGCCCACACGAAGGTCTGTCCCGCACTGTGTCAGGCTCCCTGGCCTCCTCCTGCGCCTGAGCTTGTCATGGCCCAGCAGAGAGCCCTGCCCCAGAGCAAGGAGACGCTGCTGCAGTCCTACAACAAGCGGCTGAAGGACGACATCAAATCCATCATGGACAACTTCACTGAGATCATCAAGACCGCCAAGGTGGGTGAACACTGCTCTCTGAGACCTTGGGAGCCAGAGCCAGGGTCCCCGGGGCCTGTGCTCTGTGTGGGGATGGGGCCCCTGTCTCTCCCACGCAGAAAGCATTTTAGGGTAGGTAGGGGTGGCAGGGTGTCATGGCAAACAGGTCAGCAGATAAGCCAAGGAGCCGAATAGTTACAAGGCCCTGTGGAGCCTAACTGTGGGAGTTCCACGCCCTGTTCTTACCAGCCTCATGGGGTTGATGGGGATTTCACTTTCTACTTTTTTTCTTTTTTTTGGTATGGGGGATTGAACTCAGGACCTTGCGCTTGTGAGGCAGGCAGCAGAACCACCGAGCTTACTCCCCGCAGGGATTTCACTCTGCAGTGCCTCAGTTTCCCAGCCTTGTGGGCCCTCGTGACGAGTTGGTGTGGAGCAGTTACTGCAGGGCCTGGGACAGAATGAGTGACCCGGACCCTGTTGCTTCTACACGTGAGAGTGAACAGCAGAGAAACGGGGGAGGCCCCCAGGCAGGCAGAGCCGTCGGTGTCTTGGCCTCACTGACCCCACGACTGCACACAGGCCGGCTTGGCCGACCAGGAATGGTAATAAAGGGAGCTGACATTTCTTTAGCTCAGTCAGGCCATTTGTGTTGTTCTGCTTAATCCCACCTAGAACTCCGTGAGGCAGGTACCCTTGTCCTGTCCACAGTCAGAATGGGTGAGTGCTGGTCAGCAGTGGTTCTTAGTACGGAGCCCTGGCAGTGATCAGGAAATGCTTGCTCAACAAAGTGCGTGGTTGTTGGGTGTGGTGTCACACACCTATAATCCCAGCACCCAGGAGGCTGAGGCAGGAAGATCACTCTGAGTTCGAGATCAGCCTGGGCCACATAGTGAGTTTAATGCTAGCCTGGACTACACAGGGAAACCCTGCTGTCTCAAAAAAACAAAAACACATAAACAAAACAAAATGCATTTTTTTTACTCTGTCATTCAACAATTTACCTAGTGCCTGAGCCAGCACACCAGTCCTTGCCAAACAGGGTTCACACCTAAAAGGATTTGGCCCAATTCATTAAGACCCCGTCACTGTGCCTAGTGCAGCCGTCAGTGCAGGCAGCTGTGCCTCGGTCCCTGTGAAGATGCTGGAGTCTCCCACAGAACAGAACAGGGGAAGGGGAACTGAGTGTTGCCAGGGTCTGCCGAGTGGAACACTGGGGCTGCAGGTGGCAAGCTAGACTGGCTGTGGCAGCGTGGACACGCCGGTGGCCTGCTGGTTCCCGAGTGCCAGGCTGGGCCAGCAGCGGGGACTCTGGGACTGGTCGGCTGGGCTGATCCTAGGCTTTCTCGCTTGTCCTCAGATCGAGGATGAGACGCAGGTGTCACGGGCCACTCAGGGCGAACAGGACAACTATGAGATGTATGTGCGGGCTGCCAACATCGTGAGTACCAGGCAGAGGGCGTGGCTGGGCCCCGGGAGTCCCACTGGATTGGACCTTCAGCTTGCAGAGCTGCTTTGATTTCACCCCTCGGCAGTTTCTGAGAGCAGGGCAGGGCAAATCAGTAGTCAGGAGATTTTCTCCAAGAGGGTGCTGGTCTGCGCAGTCCACCATGGTGCTGTGTGGTGGGCAGTCCCGGGCAGCCCTTCCCGCTGACCTGAAGGTTCCCTGAGTGCTGTGATCCCTCCCGATGTCAGAGAACCTCAGCAAGCCGGGGTCCATGGATGGAAATGCTCGGGGAAAGGCCCCCAGGAGCCCGGCTCAGCTGCTACCTCTGAGAAGAGCGGGGCAGAAGGTGGAGTAGGACGTGGGCCTCCCGGGGGTTTGGGTGCTGTGTGCAGCAGATGAGTGTGCGTGCAGCTGGTCCAGTAGCACATCGGGCCCATGGGGGAGGGAACCAGGGCCGGCGAGGGAGAGCTGCGGAGCAGGCTGCCCCCCACCCCCCGCCCATCAGGGTGGATGCTGAACCCTGGCTCCCCTGGCTCGGATTCTAGTGTTTTCGCTTCATCCTCACAGATGGCCCCATGCCAGCAGGGGTCTGCCTCTCCCTTTGCAGATGAGGAAGCTGAGGCATCATGGAGGCCACTGCTGTGCCTTCACGCTGTACCTGCCCTGGTTCTGGTGGCTGCAGGTCCGAGCAGGCGAGTCCCTGATGAAGCTGGTGTCCGACCTCAAGCAGTTCCTGATCCTCAACGACTTCCCATCAGTGAACGAGGCCGTTGACCAGCGCAACCAGCAGCTGCGCGCCCTGCAGGAGGAGTGCGACCGCAAGCTCATCACCCTGCGGGACGAGGTCTCCATCGACCTGTACGAGCTGGAGGAGGAGTATTACTCGTCCAGGTACAAATAGGGTGGAGCCAGCAGGCGGGCAGCCCTCCCTGGAAGGGCTCGGGTCCCCCTAACAGTCTGGCGGACAGACAGCCCACAGCGGCCTCTCAGTGCTGAGCGATGGAAATCTCAGGACGTCTGTGTCAGGGAGGCCGAGTCTGGAGAAGGGCGTCCCCTGGGCCTCGCTGTGCTCGGCTCTTGAATCCATACATAGACACTCCAGCAAGGCCAACGCCAGGCCCACACCCACGTCCAGGACACCACGCTTGCCCAGCTGCAATTCCGTGTGGATATCACCGGACCCCACAGTGTGGAGTCAGGGCAGCCCCGGGAGGGAGGAAGGAGACCAAGCAGAGAATGGCCTGGACCCAAGCCTGGAGTACTCGGATGTCTGGGTTCTGGTCACCGCAGCCTTACTCATGGAGCTGGGGCCTCTGACATTCTGGCCCCAAAGGACAGCGGTAGGCAGGACCTGTCATCCTGGCCCTCATGGGACCCCTTGGAACCCTGAGACCTGACACCTCCTTAGCTGGAGGGGTCCTGGAAATCAGAGTCCAAAGTAACGTTCACACGTGTGAAGTGAGGCTGGGCTGGGGCCTTGTCCTGCCCCAGTGACAGGGAGCGCAGCTTGAGACCAGCTGCCATACAGCTCTGCCTTCCAGACAGGCGTCCTCCCACCTGGCCCTTCGTCCAGAGCCAGTACGGTCTGTGGCTGGGACTCAGGTTCTCTGCCCAGCTGGACTAGTTCTAGAGTTCGGGGAGTCCTGGGCTAGCTTTGCTCACTGATCCTCCCCATGTTACTGCCCGTGAGGTGGCTGCTGGCCTGGGGCCCTGACAGAGCAGCCATGGGACAGTGACTCAGCCATGGGGGCTGCTGGCTGGCGGGAGAAAGGCCCAGCCCGAGGGCACACAGCAGAGCTGGGATGGGAACCTAGGACCAGGAGTGCCTGGCTCCTGAAGTCCTGGTCTGCCCCCAGGCCAGCCTGTGTCCTCCCACAGGTGTCCCATCCACTCCAGCAGCCCCCCCGCCCCACACAGCCCCGTGGTGAAGCAGCTGCCCCTCCACCATGGTCACCCTCATGTGCCCAGCTCCATAGTGCCTGGGCCGCTGGTCTTCAGTGCCCCTCTTGCCTGCCACGCATGTGCCAGCATTCGCCCCCTCTGCCCTTTCTCTGCTGCTCGCTCTCTGGCTCTGCCTCTGCCCCACTCTCCTGTGGGTGCCACTCTGTCTTGGTTGGTTCTGAGGCTGGCGAAGGGGAGGCCAGGGCCACCAAGTACACTGTGGGCCACCGCCATGACCGACAGCCAGGCTCTGCCTGGAGTCTTCCCAGAGTGTGGGAACTGAGTGCACAGGGCCCTAGAGCAGTGGTGCAGGGACATGCTGGGGTCCGTGAAGATGGGGACTCCACCGGGCTAGGAGAGGCCAGTGGAAGCCAGAGCAGAGGGTACAGCTCAGCAGGTGGGAGGGCCGGCTGAGGTGGCACAGCCTTCAGGCAGGGCAGCTGCTGTGATCCCCTCCCCTGGCCAGCCCTGTAGAGCAGAGGAAGGGATGGCAGATTGGGGCAGCGGTCATGCTTTCTTAACTCTGCTTCTATCTTGCTTCTCCCCTCCTGGCTTTCCTCTCTGCCTGCTCCTGTCCCTCCCTGGGGTTTCTGGTGGTGGAAAAGCTCAAGTCTTTGTGAAGCTAATGACTTGCCTCTGTGCGAAGCTTACTGGAGGCTGGACCTGGACACAGACTCTGCTGACGGCCTCTCAGCCCCTCTGCTGGCATCCCCAGAGCCTGGCACTGGCCCCCTGCAGGTTGCGACCCCTGCCCACTCCCTTGCTGGTGGCTCCGGCCCCACAGAGCATACCTGAGCTACCTGGGATGCCCTCCCTGTGCCTCTCATTTATCAGGAACAAAGTCCAGCCCCCCAACCCCTGTGCCCTATGCAGCCTCACTTCTTAGAGACCCCGTGACCCAGGAGCTACTGTGACCGCCTTGGGAAGGTGGCCTGGCCAGACTTTGCCTCCCAGGACGCTGGGGAGAGCTCATCTCCAGCTGCTGCCTTCCAGGCCAGCCAGGTGGGAGGAAGTTGAGGGCCTCGACTGGGCTGGGAGGACAACTGACAGCAGAAGGCACCTACATTAAAACTGGGGGCCACCCGAAGTGCATGGCGTGGCCAAGCCCAGCCTCCCGTCCTTGGGCCACAGTGCCTGTGCAGAGCCCTACCACTGCCTTTTGCCCTGGCACGCACATCTGTGCCATGGGCTGCATGCCCGACGGGCTTGTCTGGGGGCTTCCCATATCCTGCTGCCATGTCTGTTCTGACACTTTTGGAATGAGACCGAATAAAATGGCCACTCTTTCATGCTGCTTCCTCATCCTCATCCCTGGCCAGCCCGGGACCACCTTTGGGCACCCAGCCACACCTGAGCACCACTTCTTCACTGCCTGGGTGGCCTTGGGATACAGACTGGGCCACTCCCACTGGCGCCCAGCAGGTCTCCATGTTTGGTGAATGAATGAAAAAACTGCATTTCACAGGGGAGCAGATGTGGGCTTGGAATGGGAGGTGCACCCATGCCACAGGGCGGGAAGTGAAGTGGCAGAAACAGGTTTTTACCCTGGAGGAAGTCAGACCTAGGATTGTACCAGGCTCACTGCAGAAACTGGGGGTGGGGTGTTAGACCAGGAGAGGTGGGCATTCAGCACTGCCCAACTGCCATCCACACACCCTGTCTCCTTCCCGAGAGGGAAGAGGGCGACCACCGTCCCCGGTGTTGGCAGCCTAAGTAACAGGCTGTCACCTGGGGCCCAAGCCCTACAGCTCAGCAGAAGTTAGCAGACAGGAGGAACTTGGCATCTGGCCCTGGAGTATAGGTCACATGGAGGGAGAGTTTCAATGGGAAGATGTTGGGTGGTCTCCTGTAGCATTTTAATTGTGGGATGGGCCTGTACTGAGTCATTAAGGAAGAAAAAGCACTTACAAGCGGATGGAAGCACAGCTTTCAAAAAACTTGAGTAATAAAATCTTTGTATCACAGCTTTTTTATTCTCTGCTTGGCCAATACCATTCAACAGTGAAGTTTCTTCCTGGAAGCAGCTGCTTTGGGCACAGCTGGTGCTCTCCGCAGACTCTGTGTGTCAGACAGGGCTTATCTCTTACTCCCGCAAAGCCACATGTAAGTCACCAGCCCTAAACCCTGGTCAGTCCTGTTTATAATTCCACCTTTCTGATCCCAAGCATTTTATTGCGAGGGTACTAGGACCCAAGGAAGAGTTCTAAGTAGTATTATAAAAGTCGTAAGTAGTGTGTGTAAGCCACACCCACTTAGGCCCTCTTGGGGGCTCAGCCCTTTGTACTTTTACTTGCACTTTCTCCTACATACAAACAATTGGACTTCAACTGCAAACTACTCTTCAGCTTGCCTAAGAGAATGTCCTTCACGGCCCAGACCGCCATCACTACCAAAATGAGTGGCTGTTCCGTGTCACTCGCATCCCTGCCACCCTGGTCCCTGTCTTTCTACAGCTGTTTTTACTTTGCATCCCTCTCAGTTGCTCTGTCTGCCCAAATCGGGCATGCCCGGGCGTCGGTGAGACGGGGCGCCGCGGGGCTGGAAGCGGGGTGCAGCCAGGTTGGGGAACAACGGTCCCCGCAGCGGGGCGTCAACCGCCAGCGCCCGGCAGGGATTACGTCTTCATCGTTCCAACTGCATCTCACCGCCAGGGTGAGACCGAGGGCGGCGTCCCCAGCACCGAAA